CCCTTTTTATGACCAAAAACGCATCCAAAAGCATAAAAAACTTACCAAAAAAATTCAATTTTTCTTAGGCAGACGATTTTATTGCATATTCTTGCACAAAATACACCGAAAAGTGTAGAAAAAAATTGACACCCAGATCCGAGTAGAGGAAGACCCTTTTTATGACCAAAAACGCATCCAAAAGCATAAAAAACTTACCAAAAAAATTCAATTTTTCTTAGGCAGACGATTTTATTGCATATTCTTGCACAAAATACACCGAAAAGTGTAGAAAAAAATTGACACCCAGATCCGAGTAGAGGAAGACCCTTTTTATGACCAAAAACGCATCCAAAAGCATAAAAAACTTCCAAAAAAATTCAATTTTTCTTAGGCAGACGATTTTATTGCATATTCTTGCACAAAATACACCGAAAAGTGTAGAAAAAAATTGACACCCAGATCCGAGTAGAGGAAGACCCTTTTTATGACCAAAAACGCATCCAAAAGCATAAAAAACTTTCCAAAAAAATTCAATTTTTCTTAGGCAGACGATTTTATTGCATATTCTTGCACAAAATACACCGAAAAGTGTAGAAAAAAATTGACACCCAGATCCGAGTAGAGGAAGACCCTTTTTATGACCAAAAACGCATCCAAAAGCATAAAAAACTTTCCAAAAAAATTCAATTTTTCTTAGGCAGACGATTTTATTGCATATTCTTGCACAAAATACACCGAAAAGTGTAGAAAAAAATTGACACCCAGATCCGAGTAGAGGAAGACCCTTTTTATGACCAAAAACGCATCCAAAAGCATAAAAAACTTTCCAAAAAAATTCAATTTTTCTTAGGCAGACGATTTTATTGCATATTCTTGCACAAAATACACCGAAAAGTGTAGAAAAAAATTGACACCCAGATCCGAGTAGAGGAAGACCCTTTTTATGACCAAAAACGCATCCAAAAGCATAAAAAACTTACCAAAAAAATTCAATTTTTCTTAGGCAGACGATTTTATTGCATATTCTTGCACAAAATACACCGAAAAGTGTAGAAAAAAATTGACACCCAGATCCGAGTAGAGGAAGACCCTTTTTATGACCAAAAACGCATCCAAAAGCATAAAAAACTTACCAAAAAAATTCAATTTTTCTTAGGCAGACGATTTTATTGCATATTCTTGCACAAAATACACCGAAAAGTGTAGAAAAAAATTGACACCCAGATCCGAGTAGAGGAAGACCCTTTTTATGACCAAAAACGCATCCAAAAGCATAAAAAACTTTCCAAAAAAATTCAATTTTTCTTAGGCAGACGATTTTATTGCATATTCTTGCACAAAATACACCGAAAAGTGTAGAAAAAAATTGACACCCAGATCCGAGTAGAGGAAGACCTTTTTATGACCAAAAACGCATCCAAAAGCATAAAAAACTTTCCAAAAAAATTCAATTTTTCTTAGGCAGACGATTTTATTGCATATTCTTGCACAAAATACACCGAAAAGTGTAGAAAAAAATTGACACCCAGATCCGAGTAGAGGAAGACCCTTTTTATGACCAAAAACGCATCCAAAAGCATAAAAAACTTTCCAAAAAAATTCAATTTTTCTTAGGCAGACGATTTTATTGCATATTCTTGCACAAAATACACCGAAAAGTGTAGAAAAAAATTGACACCCAGATCCGAGTAGGGGAAGACCCTTTTTATGACCAAAAATGCATCAAAAAAATAAAAAACTTACCAAAAAAATTCAATTTTTCTTAGGCAGACGATTTTATCGCATATTCTTGCCTAGAATACATCGAAAAGTGTAGAAAAAAATTGACACCCAGATCCGAGTAGAGGAAGACCCTTTTTATGACCAAAAACGCATCCAAAAGCATAAAAAACTTACCAAAAAGTTGTAAATTCAGATGTTCATTACAGGAACATTTTGCTTCCTCTTTACGATCAGCAAAAAAATTTGCTTCCTCGTGGAGAAAGCAAAATTTTATTGACAAAATGTGAATTTTTGATTTTTTAACTTTCATTAATTCTTTAAATTTACCTCAAATGTATACTTTATATATCGATCGATTCGTCTTTACGTAAGGAATACAATTATTTCATATATAAACTTCAATTTAAAAAATCACAAAATTTTATAGCCAAAATGTGAATTTTTGATGTTTAACTTTCATTTATTCTTTAAATTTACCTCAAATGAATACTTTATATATATATATATCGATTGATTCGTCTTGACGTAAAGAATACGATTTTATTATATATAACCTTAAATTTTTCTATTTAAAAATTTTTTCGATTAAAAAAAAATTTTTGGAAAAAAGACCATAAAATTTTTTTTTTTAGAGTATTTTTCAAAATCCTTTGGTCATATTTGAGATATTAATATGATAAATGAGCCTACTAAATTTTATATAAATCCATTAAAACCTGTTAAGGGGTTATACCTGTTTCGAGGCTTAAAAAAAGGATGTTTTTAAAGACTTTTTCGTTAATACAGTTTTAAATAATCGTTGGCAACTAATATACCACTTAATTAAGCAACTTTTAAATAATGAGAAAAAATTTTATTACGAATTTATTTTACAAATTGTCGGCTGTATGGTTGCATAAAAAGTGCAATGTATTTTTGCAGTCCTCCGCGGCGAGCAGTTGAAGTCCCCTGGATCGTCATCTAGAAGCACAAAAAAATTTTTTTCATAAACTACATAAGATTATCTAGTGAAGTACACATGATCATAATTTTAGAATTTTTTTTGTAGAATTGTGAGAATTATAAAAATAAATCGCATTTTTGACCCAAAAAAATCGATTTTAATTGTTTATAAAAAAAAATTCTCTTCATCAATTTTAAAAATCGTGTGTACTTCACTAGATAATTTAACTAAGAAGCTACAGTTAAATTTTTAGCTCAATCGGACAATAACTCTTCGAGTTCTACTGCTCGCCGATTTGTAAAATATGGTTTCGAGAAAAACGCGTTTGAAGTTTCACAACACTATAATTTTTAATAATCTCATGCATTTGGTTAATAAATTTTGTTTACCTTCACTCTGCTATCCCAGCACCATATAATTGTCCCTCAGTGGCCGTATTTGTCTCTTCCAGCTCCTTTCTCACTGAAGTTATGCTCCGTCGAGCATTTTTTTTCGGAAAAATTAAAATTATGCATTATGGCGCTTCCGAAATGCTCCAGAAAAAATAATTTTAACAACATTTCCAAGTTGTTTTCGTGCAAGGACGTCATTGATTATTAATCTAGGAATGTTATAGTCTATTTTAAGCAAAAAAAAAAATCGAAAAAAAAATTTTTCAGGCAGGTATAACCCCTTAAAGTTATCTTCTAAACAAAAAAGGGATCCACACACACATACACACACACATACATACATCCGGACAATTGATCAGGATCTCATATAACATGTTTCTATAAAGAAAAAAATTTGTTTCCGCCACTTTGAAAAGTTTTATAAACGAAAAGACTACAAAGCTTCCTCCACGAGGAAGCAAAATGAGTAAAAGAATTGTCAAAATTTGACACGTCATAAGATTACTATTCAAAAAAACACGTGAAATCAGAAAAGGCCAACTTCAAGTTAGAACAGAAGGACAGACCAAGCATTTTATTTTATTTTAAAATTAAAATTACATCATTTTTGTTTGGCGTCTTATTTTTTTTTTTTAATGAAAAAACGGGATAAAATATGTCTTTTCTATAATTATTTCTATAACTATTATTTTGGGAGGGAAAAAATTATTATAAAAAAATAAAAAATTTATTTTCTTTAATTATCTCTATTATTATTATTTTTATTATTATGGAAAAGAAGAAATGATTAACATCTTGATGCACACACTCTCAAAATATATTTACAATATCAATTATACATGTTCATTATAAAAATACATTTAAAATATTTTATTTAAATAACACAAGAATGAACACAAATTTTATTTGAGGAATTCTTCGCGTAGCGCATAAATGAACTACTTATATTATTGCATTTTTTTCAATTGAATATAAAGATCGAAATATATCAAATTATAAAATTTTTCCTTTAAAATGTTTTTAAAGAAATATTATAATATTATGAATAAAAATGACGCTACACGGAAAATTACCCATATTAAAAAAAAAAAAAAAAAAAACCAGCAGAAAATGTGAATGCGTCGATAATAATAAATAAACGATTGGAGAGTTTTTCAATCGAAACTGTTTTTCTTTTTTGCATTTGTTGAATTTTTTTTCTAATTAAAATTAACATACATTCTAGAATAAAAATCACTCATTCGAAAAAAAATTTTACTTTAAAGAAAACTGTTTTTTTTTTTTTAATGAAAAACACTTTCTGATTTTTCATGTACCTAATGTAATAAATACGATTTTTTTTTTTTGCTTTACACACTATACAATAAATACAAATATGATTACAGTGTTTACATAATTAAAAATAAAATTTATACAATCTACATTTTTTTTCACTAACGAATCAAACAAGTACAAATTTTCAATTATAGTCTGCTGACTAGAAAAAATAATTTACAATAAATCTTGTTTTTTTTTTTTTTTTTTTATTACCTAAAGAAATCCTAATTTAAATACTTTTTTGCCTTGATAAAATATTTAATAAGTCTTTAAAAAAAAATTGTATAAAATTCTTTATAAAACAATGAAAGACAAAATTAATGAAACTTTTTTTTTCAGTCCATGTGTTTCTCGTTCTAAACTTATAAAAAAAAAAAATAATAATAACCCCAGTAGCAGACGTAGTAATAATCAGTAACAATAAATTAATTCAATCAAAAAATAAACTATAAATTTTAACAATCAACATTTAAAAAAAAATTCAAAAATTAAGATAAATTTAAAATTGTTTGTTTTCAGTAAAAAAAAGAAATTAAACTTAACTCAATATGCTTACAATATTAAACCCTGTTTGATAAAAAGTTTCTCAATTTTTAATGTTACTGATGTAAAATTAAAAAAAAAAATAGCGTTGAGAAACAAAATGATCTTTTCTCGTAAAAGAAGGAATAAAATAAATTTTGTACAGATTATATAAAAATGAATAGTTAAGCTACGTTCCTTCTTTTATCCTGAGACCAATCAAGCAAAGAGCAATGAAAAATGCTGTCCAACTGGACACTATTAAAAATCCATCATAAACTATTGGTTCGTTTATTGTATATCCTTGATCTAATATCCCTCTCATAGATAGGCCAGGAACAGTTATTGGCAACGTCAAACTGAACCAGTGAAGAAATTTTGGCATCCCTTCTAATGGCCATATACATCCTAATAATTGTAAATTAGTTCATTAATATCGTCACTGATCACAAACATTCAAAATGTTATTTTAATTTTTAAACTGCTACAAAAATGTAGCAATTCTTTTTTTTCTCTTTTAATTTTACTCTATTAAGAAAGATTTCATATAGATCAGCGTCGGTGAAGTTTACAACTATTATCAAAAATATTTTTTTATTCATTTTAATTTTATTATTTTATTAATAATAAAATAATAAAATTAAAATGAATAAAATATAATTTTAATAATAATTTTATTATATTTTATTATTATAATAAATTTAAATATATTATAATTTTTTATCTTAACAATTTTTTTTAACGTTTCTCGATAAATAAAATTTTTAGAAGAACATTTTGTAGACAAAAAATTAATTATTATTTTTCGAGTGAAAAATATTTTTATGTTCAATCGTTGATCACAAACTTTGTGAACTTATCACCGACGAATATAAAATAAAATTATTTTTTTTTTTTACAAATAAACAAACTGTGCTGAGTATATACTGTAACTCCTGTAAAAAATTTTTTTGTCCCAATAATAGTTAAACATTTTTTTTTAATTCTGAATTTTAATGATGCGTTGAGTACACATAATTTAAATTTAAAAAAAAATGGAATAAAAATAAAAATATAAAAAAATTTAAATTAAAAGTTTTTTTAATACAAAATTAAAGTTTTTATAGATAAAATTAAATAAATAAAAAGTTAAAAATTCTTTTGAGTGTAATTAGTATAAAAATTATAATTATATTCCTGGTCAAATTTTCACGAGATCTTGTCTCATTAATAATTTGAAACACTCTGAAAATAATACAAAAATTCAATCTAATAATTTGCCATTCAATTTTTGTTTAATATATAGAAAAGTTTAAACTGATTAACTACAAATGTTGACATTAAACAAAAATTGAATGTAAATTAGGTTGAATTTGTATTATTTTCAAAGTGTTAAAAAATTATTAATGAGACGAGATCCAATAAAAATTTCACCCGGAATATAATTGTAATTTTTATTCTATAATTAAACAAAAAAGGATTTTTAACTTTTTATTTTTATTTTATTTCTATTATTACCTATTTTACAAAAATTTATTTTTCATATAGGTAAATTTTTTTTTACTTATTCTGTTATTTTTACTATACTATACCAAAACTAACTTATTGCATCAAGATGCATAAAGAAATAATATATGATATGATTTTTGTTGGAGTTACTCATTAAAAAATTATTAATTTAATTAAAAAAGAGAAATTAAAAAAAAAAACTAAACAAAATAATTTTTTTTTAGTAGGGTATGAAAAACAAATTAAAAACGAAAAAAATATTTTCGAAATAGTTAAAAATTATTATTTTTCACTCACCACAAAGTAATATCATTGGATAAAAACTTCCGGTTGCTATAAAATTCGCTAACGTGTGAGAATTACTGTAAACAGATATCAGAAATCCTGGAAAATTTAAGAATAAAAATTTATATAACTTTTGCAATTTTTTTTATATTAAAAATAATAATAATAATAATAATAATAAATTGAAATATTATTTATAATTATCTCACCGTAACACATTCCACACAGGCCCGTTAATATTACTAAACAAATAGCAGTTAATAATGGTCCTTCACAAACTAAATTGAATACTAAAAAGCTCAGGGATAGACATATTGTACTTTGAAGGAGAATCACTGTAAATTGTGTCAATAAATGAGCAAGTAAAATTTCCGTTGTTGTAACACCTGTAAAAATTAATTATATTTCAATATTTTTTTATAATTGTATTGGATATAATTTTTTTTTTTTACAAATTTTAATATTTTCTATAATTATAAGTTATTTTATAATTATGAGTTATACATTACAATAATTGGTAGATTTTTATTTTATATAATTTAATTAATTAATTTGTAAATAATTAGTTTTTTTTTATAATTTATATATTGTTTTTAATAGTATATTATTTATCTGTGTTTTTTGTTAGAAAATTTTAATATTTGTGAATTTAAAAATTAATTTTAGCTGTTCGGTAATTTTTTAAAAAATTATATGCTAGTTCGTTAGTTATTTTTAACGATATTTACATAATGCTATTTTAAATCTGATGCGCTATTGTTTTTATTATTCATTTTCTTTTTACATGATAAATGATAAAGATGTCTGTTGAATTGAAAACAATAGACAGTTTAATATTCTTTATACACATATATTATATGTATTTATAGTGAGATCATTTTAATTCATTGTTATGAAATAAAATTATTTTAATTTTAATTTTTTTTTTTTTTTTTGCTCAATTGAAGCTATAAATTTAAATATTTAATTATTATAGTTATTTAATATTTTATTCATTAATTCATGACATTTGTAAAAATTAAAGTTAGTTTATTTAATTCTAATTTAAATGAAAATACCTTGAACAAGACTTCTGTCCCAAACTCCTTCATGCCGATCAGAAATAATGATAAAACATGCTACAGCAGTTGCAAGGAAAAATACAAGTCTGTAAAAATATATATTAATTTATAATTAATATATTCAAATATATAATTATGATAATTTAAAAAAGAAAAAGATTTTATTAATAAAATTTACATACGTTAATATAAACACTGGGGCTACAAACGATCTGTAAGATTGATCCAATTTACCAAATATTGGTGTTTCAAACTAAAAAAAAAAAAGAAATTAACAATTATTCATTTCTTTTTTCAACGATATTATTGTAAATATCTGATCTAGGAATAAATTTAATTTAATACTCACTTTAACAGGTAAATCAGCAAATTGTTCGGAAATTGCACATTCCTTATAGACTTTACGTGTTATCTCAAAATATCGATTATACAATTTTGTTTGCATAAACATTCCAATTTGTCTGTCTGTGTAGCAAAATAAAAGAAAATTAATTTTAAATAATAATTTTTTTAAAAAAATTAATCGAATATTTAAAATACAAATTGTGTCATAAAATTTTATTCAATTTTGCGAATGTCCAGTTCTAGGATTATACGACTTTTTTCGACTTATTTTACAAAATAAAATTAAAAATTAATTTAAAAAAAAAAATTAAATAAAATATCGATGACTTTTTTTTTAGTACATACTGTAGTTCATTCAAAAATTAAATTATTTTGAAAATTCGAATCAAAAAATTCTTTAAGAAATATTTTCAATAATTTTTATTAAAATTCTTAGAAAATTAAATTATTTAAAAGATATTAAATTTTTCAATTGAAATTCTTTAAAATTTAATAAATTATTGCCAAAATAAATTAAATTATTTTAAATATTTTTCAATTTAATTAAAAATTATTTATAATTCAATTATTGTCTGTAATTTATAAAAAGAATCCAATTATTTTTTAAATTATCCAAAATTCTCCGCCAAATTAATAGTTTTCAATAATATTAATCAAATTTTTTCAATTCAAATAATTTTTACCAACTTTTTCTAAAATTTAATTATTCAAACAAATTTTAGATTATTAATCATTTGAATACTTCAAACTTTGACAAAATTCTGAATTCATAAATAATTTTCATAAATCAAACTAGAAAATTTTTTTAAAAAAATAACTTTTCTATTTTTTTTTATGAATCTAAAATTTTGAAAATTCTTGAAAATTTGCCGCAGTTAAATTTTGAAATTTTATGTAAATAAAATTTCTTGATAATATCCTATGCAATTATTTTTATTATGGAATTATTAAAATTTATTTTTTTAACCCTTAACTAACACAATTCCGCGTTCGAACGTAAATGGCATAACGGATCAATCTAAGGTCTGAATATGCACATTTTACTCACCACCCATATCCAAAAATATTGGTATTTCACTAGCTTCAATAGATCCTTCATCCAAATAATCTGTACTGTCGCGTTTTTCTTCGAATGCTTGTGAAAAATTTTTTGCAAAATGTATCACACCCACGACTTTATCTGATGATTTTAAAATTGCTTTAGTTGCTTCTTCCATAGTTGAATAATACACCTACAAGAAAGAAAAAAAAAATTATTTCAACTCAATGAATATTATTAAAAGAAAAATATGGACAATAATATTTGCAAAAATTAAATTAAACATCAAAATAATTTGTAATGAAAAAAAAAATTATTATTTTTTTTTTTCATACCTTTTCAGCAATTGAATCATCAAATCCATTTAAATACGTGCAACTTAAATCGGTATAAAAACAAGTTAAATTTACTGGATCGTATGAAAAATGTCCTGTATTATTACCAAAATTACAATTTCCTGCTTCATCATTAACCACAGCTAATTTCAAACCTTTTGGATCACCACCAATTGAAAGAAAAAAACACATTAACTCAACTATTGGAAACAAAAGTGCAAACATGATTCCTCTGCAAAAGAAATAGATGAATAAACTTCTTCAATTTTTTTTTTTTTATTATTATTATTATTATTAAGTAAAATTAGCATTCTAATTTCAATTGTAAATTTAATAAATTGCGATAAATTTTTTTTTCCATCACTTTATAAATGGATTTTCTTATTAAATGCTTTTAATAAAAATTACTATAAATTTTGCACAAAATTGTTTTTGTATTCTTATAACGAAAAAAAAAAAAAAATTTTTTTTACCCAGGATGACGTAGAAACTGCAAAGTATTTTTTATCATCAGTGCTTTAAATCTTTTACAGGATGATTCTCTCCAATTTTTTTTACTAATTATACTGTTATCATTAATTGGGAAAATACTCTGAAATCAAAAGAAAAATATTTTTATATATTATTTTTTGCAAAATACCTTCAAATACTGCAAAATTAATTTTTTTATACTATTCGGAAATTTTATTAAATTAGAAGAAAATTTTATCATTTAATAATTTAATTTTAGTAATGGATAATTGGAATAATTTTTTTGTTTTTTTTTTTTTGAACTTTGTTTTCTTACATTTTTCTTGACGGAATAATTATTTGATGGAGTTGTCGGTGAAATCACTTCATCCAATTCAGAATAATATTCGGTTTCAATTTCCATTATTCCTCGATCTTGTTTATCCTTCTGCCGTTGACTTAATGCAAGAAAAGCATCTTCCAATGTTTGACATTGAAATTTCATCAAAAGATGACCTGGTGGAGCTTCTGCTAATAATTGTCCACATCTCAATAATCCAATCTACAATATTAATTCAAATCGAATATTAATTTAAATAGAGATAATAATAATTTTTAATAATTAATTTTAGTTTAAGAGAAATAAAAATATTATTTCAATAAAAAAAAAAATTGTCATTTAAATCAAAAAAAAAAAAGTAAAGATAACTTTTTTTTTAATGAGATAATTTGTAAATTACTTTATTCGCCTGTTTTGCTTCCTCGATGTAATGTGTGGTAATTACAATGGCGGTGCCATATTCCTGGGATAAATTTACGAGATAATTCCAAATGCTAGAAAATCGAAAAAAATCATTGAAAAATATAGAAAATTACATCAAACTAAAAAAAAATTTTTCATTTATGAAAAAAATTTTTTTTTTTTTCAAAAAATAATGTGTGTTTTTTTAATAAAGTAATTTTTGTGCCAATTTGTGCTAAATGCTGCAAAATTTTTATTGACAAAATTAAAAAATTTGGACTCAATTTAAAAAAACGCCTTAAGATCAAAAATACCATTTCTATGTAATTAAAAATAAACAATTGTTCAAGAACAGAACAAAAAGAAATTTTTACAACAATTTTCACAATTTTTAATAATAAATTATTCGAAATAATTTAAATTTAAATTCAAAAAACGATTTTTTAATTCAAAAAGATTAAAAAATTATTATTTTTCAAAACTAAATTTTGTACTGAATTGTGCTATTCGATAACAAGAATTAACAATCATAATAGTTACGAAAAATTAAAATTTTTTAAAAATGAATCAATTTTAAAATTCAAATAAACCTTTTTTGATCGAGAAATATTCAAAACTTATTATTCAAATAAAACTTTTTGTTGAATTATGTTAGTCGAACACAAAAAGATACAATTAAAATATTTACAAAAAAAATTAATAATTTTTCAAAATAAATCAATTTTTAAAAGTCAAATAAACATCTTTTCATCTAGAAATGTTAAAAAAAATATTATTTTTCAAAAACAAATTTTGCGCTAAATATTGTGCTAATCGAGCAAAAAAAGATAGTTCATCACAAAATTTGTTTTTTAAAAAATAATATATTTTTTTTTTAAATTCAATTCTATTTTTAAAAATAAGAAAAAAAAAAGTACTTGCTTCTCCCGTAGAATGGGATCCAATCCCACAGTGGGTTCATCCAAAATTAATAATTCTGGATTGTGAATAAGTGCAGCTGCAAAAGAAACTCTCCTTTGTTGACCTCCACTCATGTGCTTAACCATTCTATTTTTTGGTGGAAGTTCAAATAAAGTTGAAAGTTCCAAATATCTTTTTTCTGGAAAATTATCGTTAATTAAAAAAAAAAAAAATTATTTACTTTTAATCGTAGAAAATAATTATTACATATGGGCGATTCCACGTCAAATTTACAATTAAATTTTTAATTCGGCCAAAAACATTTTTTCTTCATTCCTTATTGAAAAAAAAGGATACGTATTTTTTTTTTTTTTTTTTTATGGCCAAATTTTCTCACTATGAATTTTTGAAATTTTAGATTTTCAAAAGTAGACTTATTTTCAATCACATGTATCTTTAAAACTATCAACTTTCGAAAAATTTTGTAAAGACATAAAAAATTTGTTTTTTCTTCGACTTTTTAAAAATGTTAACAAAAAAAAAAATCTAATTTTTCTTATAAAAAAAATTAATTTTTTATAAACAAATTAATGTTTTTTACATTTGGGCCCGATTTTTTTTTTCGTATACCTACCTGGAAGTGTTAAGAAGACTTTAGAAAAGGTTTCAGAGTGCTTATTACAAAACGGATTTGTTAAAACTTTAAATATAAACATATTTAAACATTTCAATTGTTTATACGATTAATTAAATAGTTAGATTAATGAATTTTTGTTTTATTCAATTTTTACATATCACAATATTCGAAAAGAATTGTTTTTCAAATATTGTCACAAAAACACATATAATAATAAGCACAAAAGGTAAAAAAAAGTTATAACTATTTTTAAAATATAATAGGTATTTTAAAAAACATTTTGAATCTACAGTATAGAACGGTTAATCTGATAAATGATAAAATAAACGAATTTTCGATTTATAAAGTAATTATTTAAGTATTTATTTTTAATTATTTGATACGATAAACTGACGTAATTTCGTATTTTACATTCCTCAGAAATATTGTCGTTTTACGTATTTGAGGATTTTGAAAAAATGTTTATATGAATCATTTTAATTATTTTTAAACAGAAAATTTATTTATATTGACTTTAACAGTTTTAATTTTGTACAAGTCTGTTTTATATAAATAAATACTTAAATAATTACTTTATAAATCGAAAATTCGTTTATTTTATCATTTATCCGATTAACCGTTCTATACTGTAGATTCAAAATGTTTTTTTAAAATACCTATTATATTTTAAAAATAATTATAACTTTTTTTTACCTTTTGTGCTTATTATTATATGTGTTTTTGTGACAATATTTGAAAAACAATTCTTTTCGAATATTGTGATATGTAAAAATTGAATAAAACTATTTAAAACTATTTAATTAATCGTATAAACAATTGAAATGTTTAAATATGTTTATATTTAAAGTTTTAACAAATCCGTTTTGTAATAAACAGATGTAACAAGTTAAAAAAATATAAAATGCCTCTAAAAAGAAAATTCCTTTTCAAACTAGATAGACTCACAAAGCACCGCGCGCGCATTAAGCTTGCAATCCGAGTTTAAATATTTATTTAAACTTATCAGGCCCACTCTGAAACCTTTTCTAAAGTCTTCTTAACACTTCTAGGTAGGTATACGAAAAAAAAAAGAAAAAATCGGGCCCAAATGTAAAAAACATTAATTTATTTATAAAAAATTAATATTTTTTATAAAAAAAATTAGATTTTTTTTTGTTAACATTTTTAAAAAGTCGAAGAAAAAACAAATTTTTTATGTCTGTACAAAATTTTTCTAAATACAATAGTTTTTGAGCTATTCTTAATTGAAAATAGGTCTGCTTTTGACTGAACAAAATTTTTAAAATTCGTAACTCAAAAATTTGACCATAAAAAAAAAAAAAAAAATAGGTGTCTCTTTTTTTTCATAAAGAATAAGGAAAAAATATATTTACTAGAATTTTAAACCTCGACTATAAATCTCACGTGGAATTGCCCATATATGAAACACAAATCAATCGATTTAAATCTGCTTTAAATACAAATTTTTTTTTTAAATATAAATATATTTTAAGTTTGAAAACAATTTGTTAAATCAGGGTTTCCATAAAAATTTTATTTTGTTTTTCCCTGATTTCCATCAAAATCTTTTCCCTAATCCTAACGAAAATATTTTCAGATATTTTCAATTATAAAAAATTAAGACAATAATTTTTAGAAGCAAAAGTTTAAATTGAAAATTTCAAAAATTATAATTTTAGTAGCATTTTTAGAAATTTGATATTTTTCCAGTACTTTTCATAAAATTCCCTGATTTTACTGACCCGTGGGGCTGTTCACAAAATACGTAACGCTTTTTTTTTTTAAATTTCAACCCCCCCTCCTCCCCCCATGTAACGGTCAGTTACATACATTAGCGCCATTTTTTTGTCTGTCCGTAAAAAATAGCTTGACCCCCCCACCCCCCTGAGTTACGTATTTTGTGAACAGTCCCCGTGGTAACATTTTAAAAGTAACAGTATGTAATTATAAAAGAACAATTTTTTAAAATTGTATCTTCATTTAAAGAAAAAATTTATTTTTTATTTTTATTTCAAATAAATATATTTGAAATTAGATTATACAAAAGAATTTGTTGAAAAGTATAATTTAAAAAAAAAATCATTTTTACCAATCATATCTTCATTGACACCATTAATTCTGCCAAAGTAATAAAGAGCATTAAGAAGAGTAAATTCTTGAACGAGAGAAATTTCCTGTGGCATATAACCTAATCGAGGTCCGGGCACTCCTGAGCCTTTTGATCCTGGTTTACCACCCAGACACCATATTGTGCCACTATCCAATTTTCTCACGCCAACTACACATGATAAAAGAGTGGTTTTTCCACATCCACTTGCACCCAGTAGACTGTAGCTGTAAAATATTTTTATTTTTTTAGCATAAAATAGAAAAACACGTGTTGTCATGGCAACATATGCGTTAGAAAAGGACAAAAAAGTGTAGGCATTTATGGCCACGAGTGTACATGTACATTTGAATTGGCCCACCAAGTGGCGCCAATTCGAGCTAGTGATCGCTGAATAAACTAATAAAAATACATTAGTTTATTATATTTATTGCTTTTTTTTATTATTTTTGCGTTAAATTATAGTAAATTAGTAGAACAGCGATATTTTTTGCACAATTCTTTAATAATTTCTCGAAAATTTTAACCCGAAATCATTTTTTATTTCAGAGAAAATTTCAAACTACAAAAAACGTTCTTTTCTCACATGGCCTTAAGGTTATGTGGGAACCTCCCACGTGACTTAGTATGGGAAAATGTGTTTTGGTAGTATACGTTTCACTCTAAAATGAGAAAAGATTTTTGTCTAAAATTTTGAGGGATAATAGATTAGGGTACAAGGAATCTCGCTGTTCTCCGAAAAATACATAATTTTCAGTAAAATTATTAAAAAATGAAGTTTAAAAAGTGGCATTTTTAAACGAAAATGAAAACAAAGATGGCGGCGCATACACAGACGTTGCTTGAGTGTGTCAGTGCTCCAGTAAACAGCGCCAATTCAGCGAGATTCATTGTACCAAACAAAATCATTTCTTCAAAAATTTAACCCAAAATCATTTTTTATTTCAGAGTAAGTTTCAAACCACAAAACAACGTCCTTTGCCCACATACCCTTACTAAAAAGTATTTATATTGTATTTGAGTAAAAGCTGCTAAATTTAAGAAAAATAAACATTTTTTGTAAACTATTTGAAACTTTCTCTGAAATAAAAAATGATTTCGGGTTAAAATTTTGGCGAAATAATTTTGTTTGGTACAAGAAATAATCTCGCTGTTCTACTCATTTACCATAACTTAACGCAAAAATAATAAAAATAAAGTAATAAATAGTAAAATAATGTAGTTCATTCAGCGGCCACTCGCTCGAATTGGCGCTGTTTACTGGAGCACTGACCAACTCAAGCAACGTCTGTGTATGCGCCGCCATCTTTGTTTTCATTGTTTTCAACTTCATTTTTTAATAATTTAACGCAAAATTATGTATTTTTCGGAATACAGCGAGATTCCTTGTACCCTAATCTAACATCCCTCAAAATTTTAAACAAAATTGTTTTCTCATTTTAGAATGAAATGTATACTACCAAAACACATTTTCCCATACTAAGTCACGTGGGAGGTTCCCACATACCCTTAATGACTGTACAAATCTAAAACCTAAGAAAACGAGAATATGAAATGTCATAAAATATATTTTTTAATTTATCGAGAATTTAGTTGCAAATATTTAAGAAAAGTATTTTAAGTAATTTGACATAATTCTGGAATTTTAATAAATTTATTTTTCTAAATTGTAAAATACCTATTAAGGAGGGTGGCGGGTCAACATAACCTCAAAAACCTGTAAAAACTAAAAAATTGTTTTTAACGCAAACAAAAATATAATAAAATATTAATTTGTAACAATTTTAGAAGATCTAGATTTACTCCTTTCGAAAAAATTATTTTTTTCCAAAATATTTTGTCAATAATTATTTTTTTAACATTTAGTTTTTTTTTCTTTTAAATCAGACAAAAATTGTAATTTTTAACCAATTTTTATAAACAAAAGCTCATTTTACTCAGTGAAACATTCTCTACAATTGTTACCTTTTTTATATTGTAATTAGTATGCTCTTAAAAAGTTATTTAATAAATATATTGATCGATTCGTCTTGACGTAAGGAATACGATTTTATTATATATAACCTTAAATTTTTCTATTTAAAAATTTTTTCGATTAAAAAAAATTTTTTGGAAAAAAGACGATAAAAATTTTTTTTTGGGTATTTTTAAAAATCCTTTGGTCAGATTTGAGATATTAATATGATAAATGAGCCTACCAAATTTTATTTAAATCCATTAAAACCTGTTAAGGCCAGGTCCAAGTGAGGCAGCGCCATCTACATTGATACTAAAATTTTGGAAAATTTTCAACAGCCTTTTCTTGAAAACAAGATGGTAAAATGCTTTTTCCTTTATGGATAATTGATTATTGGCAAGATATACACCAGCTAAAACTTTTTTTGAGTTAAAATAATAAAAAAAATTTCATGTCAATAAATTAAATATGAGCACTTTTTTCACAAAAACTGTAACAGTACTTTCTCAGAAATTACAATCAAAAATGCAATTTCCATTTGGAAAATTAATAAACGCTAAAAAATACACGACCTAAGATTTACCAATCACGAAAATAATAAAAAAAAAATTTTATTAAATATTTAACATATTGATACTGCTTTACTGATTGTGACAGCCCTTTGGTAGATTATGTATTTCAGGTGGTTAGCAACAGCGCCAATCTCCTCCTTTCGGCAAAACTGCGAAACGTCTGGTGACATATATAACCTGCCAAACGGCTGTCATAATGAGTAAAATGTGTTATGCACGGAGAGAAAAATTAGGTTGTGTGGACTGGAGACTTAAGTTAAAACTACTTGAGTGACTCAAGTAACGATGCCTACAGTTAAAGCAAAATTGGTCGCACGGTAGTTTTGACTGTGCGGTCCCAAATAGTATTAATGTGCCATTAAAAAGTGATATTTCCATTCATTTAAACAGTTGAGGTTATTCGTGTAACAAGTAATATCAATATGTTAATATCAATAGCGAATTCAAGAAAAAAATTATGCCAATTTATTTATTTGTAAAATATTTAAATAAAAATTTTGCACTTCGAAACTTACAAATTTGTCATTTATCGTATTCGAAGTGTGTTATGGTTTGCTGACAAAATAATTAAATACTTATTAATGAATGCGTTCACAAAAGTAATGTAAAAACACTGTAAAAAGAAAGGTACTAATTTAGTACCAATTTTTGTACTAAATCGTAATTTGGTTCGATTTTAATACCGAAATCAGCTCTAATTTAGAACTTTTTTTTACAGTGAATAATTAATGTACGCTTTAAATGTTGAAATACGACTACGCAATGTCCTAACTTTTTATTATAATTATGTATAACGAGAAAAGTGTCTAAAACTGAAAATCCAACACACAACATAACTTGAAAAAGTGTTTCTTTTTATTTTTACATAATTTTTCAGTTAATTTGAAAAACCTTTGGATTCAGAATTGCTTAAAAACTATATTGTGGACCTTATTATTTCCTTTAAATCATCAAAAAAATGTTAATATTTGAAATTTTTTTAAAAATCAAACCTAACCTAGAAAAAATTAATAAATATAATATTCTATTAATATGCGTGTGTGAATAGCGCCACGCTGCCAAGCAAAGCTGATTGGTCAAACCGTCTGTCGGTATTATTTGAGAACATTATAGCCCTAACTTGATAGCCAAGTCAAATCTACCGTGCTCTCCAGTTACAAATGCCTTGTTTAATAAAATTGGACCAACGACTTGAAACAAAGCAGTTATCACCTAATTTTTCTCTCCGTGTGTTAAAATACTTTTTTTTTGTTATTTTCGTGATTGGTAAATCTTAGGTCGTGTATTTTTTAGCGTTTATTAATTTTCGAAATGGAAATTGAATTTTTGATTGTAATTTCTGAGAAAGTACTGTTACAGTTTTTGTGAAAAAAGTGCTCATATTTAATTTATTGACATGAAATTTTTTTTTATTATTTTAACTCAAAAAAAGTTTTAGCTGGCGTATATCTTGCCAATAATCAATTATCTATAAAGGAAAAAGCATTTTACCATCTTGTTTTCAAGAAAAGGCTGTTGAAAATTTTCCAAAATTTTAGTATCAATGTAGATGGCGCTGCCTCACTTGGACCTGGCCTTAAAGTTATCTTCTAAACAAAAAAGGGATCCACACACATACATACATCCGGACAATTCATCAGGATCTCATATAACATGTTTCTATATAGAGAAAAATTTGTTTCCGATACTTTAAAAATTTTTACAAACAAAAGGACTACAAAGCTTCCTCCACGAGGAAGCAAAATATTAATTAACAAAAAATTTATCCATATTTTTATTATTTAATATTCTAAATCTAATATTTAATATTATACTATTGTAAACGATTTCCGCATGTTCCAATTACTTCCATAAGCGGAGTTGAAAGATAAATTATTATTGCTGAAAGCAATTAGCTTTCCAATCCAAAGAACTTTTCATAGTAATTATATTCGGGCTATATATATGGTCATCAAATAAACTTTTGTTTGATTTAATGAGTATTGGATCAACATTCAAAATAATAGGGATACAATCAATTTAATAAGACAAAGCTAAAATTTTATTTGAATAATTCACTCTCTATAAAATAATTTTTCTATAAATAAAATGAAATTTGTCATTTATTCAATTTTATTTTTCACTTTTATTATATTTTCAAATGAATTTACCCTTCGTTCTATTATTTTTGAATCTCCGAAAATTTTATCAAATCATTATTCATTAGATTTGACATCTAAATCAATGTATTTCAAATAAAAATAATAATATAGTCACTCGAATATGATTGTTAAAAAAATGAATAGAACAAAGAATTTTCATCGAATTCTCAAAGACGACACACTTTTTGACAAACAACACATGTCGTTGAATCTCACCGATTCTAATTTTCCTCAAGGATTAAGTAAAATTGAAGCTACGAATACAAATGATTTGAAGATTAACGAGAAGCTGCCAAGAAATAGAGAGGTTAGTGTCATTCGTGTAAAGGAAAATTTAGATAATTTTACAAATTATGTGAGTAATAAACAACATAGTTGGAATTTATTTATATAAAAGAAACTCCCAATGAATTTATATTATAAAAAAAAAACTTTATTTTCTTTCTTCAACAATTTTATTATTAGAATTGATTGAATATTCCTTGTGAATTTGCAAATTTTATTTTAATATTTATAAAATAAATATAAATTATAAAAGATATAAATTATTAATAATTATAAAATCTTCTTAGGTATATAAAACGAGCAAAAAATTTTTAAACAAAAATATTAAAAAAAAAAAAAAATAAATAAATAATTCTTCTTTCAATAGCAAAATTGTATCAATTTTACTTGGAAAATCTTTTTCTTTGTATTAAATGAATTTAAAAAAATCTTTTTACTTTCAATTCAATGATAAATGTTTTTGTTTAAATAAAAATAAAAAATAGAAGAAAAAAAGAAAACAAGAAAATGATAATATTTTTGTAGAAAAATAAATTTTATTACAGAAAACATTTAGGAAACGAATTCTTGTTGAAAATCATTTTTCTAAAGGGCGGCCCCCCCCCCCCCCCTTAAATGATAATAGACATCAGTTGCCAAAAATTTATGATAATTCTTTGGCGACGACAACGACAATGCCTTTCGAAATCGCATCCGATCTCGATATAAATGCAACAAATGCTGATGGAATACAAAAGGATTCTAAAAGTTCCTTGACAGAGGTTCATGGTCTTAAGAAGCTCGTGAAAAAAGTTTTAAACGTGACGGGAACACGAGATAAGATAACGCTTGTCGATGAACTAGGAATGAATTTTCCTCAAGTTAAAGTGAAATGTTTAAGTGAAAAAAAATTGAATAATACATTATATGATTATTCTCCTTTAATGTTGAATGTCTTTGATAATTATCGTAAATCACATGAAGAAGAAAGTAAACAAATTTCACAAAATTTGAAAAAATTAAAAAAATTCCTATTTTGAGAAAATTAGACAATAATGATGATGATTATGATGGAATTTATCGTTGTCTTTATGGTAACTCGGAAGAATTAAAAGATAATTACAGTAAAGTTGGTTGTATCTTTTTCTATTGCAACGTTTTCATGCACATAAGTTATATCAAAAAGAGATCGTTTTATGTGTATCATTTTTAGAAATGATACACGAAACGGTCTCATTTTTTGATGCAAAAAATTTAATCAATTTATATCAATCATGGCCGAATTGAATCGACTCAAAATTAAACGAATTTTTTTCAGATATTTTGGTAATAGTACAATTGCGGAGACCATTTCACTATTTAATTTGAAAATGAAAATAACAGAAAATCAAAGACAATGTGCAATTCGATAATTAAAAAGTGACAGCTTATAAACATAACCTAAAATGCATGAGAAAAAATTTGTCGATAAAATCAATATAGCCGAGCTTTTTAGAAGGTAGATGGCAGCACTCATCTATTTTCTTTCTTTAAATTTTTTCTGAATCGTTTTTATAAAAAGCAAAACTGCCATCTACCTTCTAAAAAGCTCGGCTATATTGATTTTATCGACAAATTTTTTCTCATGTATTTTAGGTTATGTTTATAAGCTGTCACTTTTTAATTATCGAATTGCACATTGTCTTTGATTTTCTGTTATTTTCATTTTCAAATTAAATAGTGAAATGGTCTCCGCAATTGTACTATATTACCAAAATATCTGAAAAAAATTCGTTTAATTTTGAGTCGATTCAATTCGGCCATGATTGATATAAATTGAATTAATTTTTTGCATCAAAAAATGAGACCGTTTCGTGTATCATTTCTAAAAATGATACACAAAACGATCTCTTTTTGATATAACTTATGTGCATAAAACCGTTGCAAAGATTTGATGCAATTTTTGGTCTCAATTTGATACTTTTAGGAAAACTGTGAATTTAAAAATACTTTACCAACTTTAAACGAAAAATACAAAAAAATGAAAATTAAAATATAAAATTTTAAGAAAATTTAATGAATTAATAATTGTATTATTATTAATAATTATATATTAATTAATATTTTAAATTTTAATAATTAGTGTTAAAATAGCTTTTTTATTAAATTCTTTTTTTTTCATTTATATTTACATACGAGACAATAATTATATGAATTAATATTGTACTAGTTATGAAATTTTCTGTTGAAAACTCGAATCAAATAGGAGAAAAAAATGTTTTAAAATTAGCGTTTTTTGTTCTATGTCATTATTAAGTATAAGCAGTGTATATAAACATGTAATATATGTAAAATTATATATGCTTGGAATATAAACACTATAAATATACTCACATAGTTCCACGAGAAACAGTCATATTTAATCCATTAAGGACAATATTTGTTTTTCCATAATTTTTCCGAGCATTTCTAACGACTATTGCTTCCTGAGAAGTCATTTTGAGAAAAATTGGATCCTCACTCGAGGGAATTTGATCTGCAACCAAAAATTTTCATAATATAAAATCTATATTTTTTTTTCTATATATGATTTTTTCCCCCTATTTTTTCTCATTTATTAAAATTTACATAACTAATAATAATAATAATAATAATAATAATAATAATAATAATAATAAATAAATTACAAATAAATTACAAATAAAAAACAAAAATAATAATTAAAATAGAATAAAAAAATAAAAAAAATTTCTGTTATTAAATAATTTAGAAAAAAAAAGTTAAAATCAAAATGTCACATTTAAATAACTAAATAAATAAATAATTATCCAATGAGGTATATATCTAGACTAAAAGAATAAATGTTTAATATATAATTTTGTATAAATTCTAGGGACATAATTTCGAAAGTAGTATTCAAATAATTATGAAATTGCTAATGTTTTCCAAGAAGTTCAATCGATTTAGACACCTCGTAATTATATATAATAGGTATATGAAAAATAGACATAGGTCATTTTGTAAAACACACACCTTGATTACAATGAAACATTCTTTACAAGTCACTTGAAAAAAAAATATTTTTTTTAAATTTAAAAAAAAAACGATATTTTAAATTATATATTTATTTTACGTTCATTTGCTTGTCATTGTTTAAGTATTATACAATATAGAAAATGTCATTGAAAAATCGATGAAATTGATTATTTTGAAGAGAATTTTTTTTTTATATATATATAGCACTTGGAAAATTTATTTTGTGTCAAAAAGAAAAAAGAAACACATATTTCTTAAATGGACACAATTTTTTTTTTTAAATACTAAAGAAAAACATTGAATAAAAAAATCAAGAATTATAGCTAATGATGCGTAATTTAAATCGAATCATTATTAATTGTACTTGAACTTTTATATATGAGAAATCAGAGAGAATGCAAAAAGTCATTTATGCAAAAATTTTCATGAGTAAGCAAATACTTTTGTGACATGCAACATAAGTTCGATGTAAAAATATGTAATGAGAAAAATTAAAAAATAATGAGAAAAGTTAACAATTTATTTTTATAATAATTGCAATAAATAAAAGTATTTTTGAAAATGTGTGTAAATATTCTCAAAATCATATAAGGGAATTAACGTGAAGTGATCAAGGTTTAAAAAAACGTTTTTTTTTCAATTAAATAATGAAATAAATTTTTTTTTTCTTCAATAATAATATTCGATTCAATCATTTTTTTTTAAATTTGTAAATTTTTATCTTAGAAAAAAAAATTATAATAATCATTGTCCACACGAGATTTGTCATAATTGTTTTTGAGTCAAATTTTTATTTGTTTGAATTAGTATTTTGCAGAATTTTTATCAAAACGATTTTCTATATTAGAGAATTTTTATATAACCGAAAAATCATTTTACAAAATTTCTAATTGATAGAATTTTCATTTCGCCGGAATTTGTAAATGACCGAACAAACAATCTACAGAAAGATTTCGGCGCGATTTTTAAAATCAAGTAATCACAATTTTATGGATAATTTTTGATAGGTTGATTTTAAAAACCGCGCCGAAATTTTTCTGTCGATTGTTTGTTCGGCCATTTACAATTTCGGACAAATGAAAATTCGACTCAATTAATTATGACCAATGAAATTCCATAAAATGAAAATTCTAACTAATAATTTTTAGAACATAATATTTTTGAAAATTTTGCATTTTTTTTTTAAATTAGTTTTACCATATCGTAATCAGTACATTAAAATATTTTTAAAAATTTGAGTATCAAGATAATCGGAAATATTAAAAAAAAATTCTAAATTTAAAAATTTTGTTTAATTTTTGAAAAAATTGGAAAAAAAATTTTTTTTCCCTATGACATGACCACGCTGTAAAGTTTTATAGAAGGAAGTAATTTTTTTTGAAAATTTTTCATAAAAAATCCATAAAGTAAAATTGACATTCTGATCAAGTATATACCTGTATTATTATTTATTTATCAACGTTGGGGGCCAATAATTTTTTAGTGACCATTTCCTATTGAAAATTATATTGCATTTATTACTTTAACAATGCGCGTGTATTGAATTTAATTAATATGTGATTATAAAGATTTTTCAAGAACTATACACTCTCTATATTGACAAGAGATATAATACATACATAAATTTGCACTTGTCATTTGTGTTCAATAAAAAAAAAAACACCTCATCTTTATTGATAATTAACAATTGAAATTATACACTCAAGTATGGAAAAATTTAATTAAGAAACTTTTTGTTCTCATTTATGAAAAATTATGAAATTTTTTTTTGTATAAAAACTAATTGGATATAATTAAAAAATAAAAAAAAATTTTAATTATAATAAAAACTGTTGTTTTGAAAATTTGAAAAATTTTCTATTTTTTTTTGTACAAAAACTTATTAGGATTATAATTAAAAAATAAAAAAATTTTAATTGTAATAAAAACTTGTTTTTAAAATTAGATTTTTTTCTTTATAGTTTTTTTTTAGTATATGTGCAATTTTAATTCGAATTAAGAAAGAATTATTCGAACCAATTAAAAAAACAAAATATTTATTTATTTCATTCTAAAACAAATATATTTTTGGTGTTTATATAAGGAACAAAATTTTTTCTCACTACTTTTTTGACATACGAAAAAAATGTACCCAACCAAAAATTTCAGTATTATACCAGAGTTGACTACTGACGCAGTACTGGTTCAGTATTGGCTGCCGAGGCTGGGCAGTCTGTACTGAACCAGTACTGGTATTTTCATTGATTCCGTACTGGTTCAGTACCACCCTCACAGTACTGGCAAACCAGTACTGAGCCGATATTGAGCCAGTACTGGCTCAAATAGATTTTCTTTTTGATTAACACTAGTTTACAAAAAGTTCTAGAGTGAACCCGATGAATCTTTTTGTTTAAATATTTTGTTCATCAAAATTTTATCAACTTGATTTTATTTTTCAAAATTAAAATGTACTTTATTTTGGTTTTTTGTTGGTAAAATTTTATTTAAACAAAAAGTTTCCTGAGACCAAGTCTAAAACATTTTACAAGATTTTCTTTTTGTTTTCAGATATGCAATAATCAAAAAAAAAATTTAAACGATCAAACTAAAAATAAATAAATTTGTTTATAAAAAATTAATATTTTTTAAAATAAAATTTATAATATAAATTTAATTTAAAAAATTAAATACAATCGCAAGTAAAATTGCAAAAATTTTATATTATCAATAATATAAAATATATACTTAATTAACCTTTCTTAATAGAAATTATAAAAAATAGTTAAAACTACAAACTTATATATTTTAATGGTCAATAAAATTATTGTAATTTGTTTCTGGATGTTATTCTTCAGTTTTTTTCCAAAAGTAAATTATAAACAAAAATGTAATGTTAATTTACAAATAATTTAAATAATTTTTTTAATAATTACCTAATTTCAGGAATTTAATATTCATTATTTATTAAATCATTATATTTGTAATGAGTTAATTTGTAAACTAATTTTGTTTTATGTAAATTGAATTGAATTCAATATTAATTTTTTTATATTTGATATAATAATTAATAAATTAAAGTGAATAATAAAATAATCAAATAGTTAATTGCATAATTATATACATTATAATTATTTTATAAACATTTTTATTTTTACTGAACTGTTTTTATATATTATAAAAACTTTGGTTTTATAATAAACATATTTTTATATTTATTTTTTGATTTTTTAAAATAATAATTTGCAATATATATTATAAGAAAAAATAAAAATTCTTGATGTTTTCGATTTTATATAATAAAATATTAATTAGTTAGTTTACTAACTTAATTAATATTTAATTTGTGTTGGGTTACTAAAAATTTCAGACACTTTTTCCTAAGTATACCAAAAAAGTATTACCTGGAGTGAAACTTATCTCTGTTACAGTTAAAGCTTTCTTTTCGTAAACAATAAATTACAAAACTGCCAGTACTCGGCCAGTACTGAATCAGTAGTGGTTACCAATACTGGTGCCAACTCTGGTAGCCAATACTGGTAAAATGTTATCATCCCAATGTTACGCCAACTCTGGCGCCAATACTGGGTGCCAGTACTGCGCCAGTACTGCGCCATTAGTAAATTTTTGATTGGGTATAAAATGTTCTAGTGGTATAAAAAACATTTCTTATAATGATTAAATTATTCTTAAAAAAAAACTAAAATAAAAAATTAAAAAATTAAAAAAAAAATTTGCCCTTAAAATTCTAATAGAAATCTGTATGTTGTTGACTTTTTGATGAAGAGGTTCATTTATGGATTATTATTATTATAGTGTGAAATATAGGTCAGGGTTATAAGGTGATTCTCTGTGTGTAAGGAGATTCATCTCTAGGTGTAACTAGGGATATAAAACTGGGAAGTGGCAGACTGTTTTACCGTTATAAAGGAACCGCTTGATTATAAAACATACTATTCCACATTCCAGATGAGCACAGAGGAAACCATAATATTCTAGCTCTAGGTCAATGTTCTTTATAATCTTGCATATTTATTATCAGTGTCTCTCTTGTATTAAAAGCTTTAGAATGTTTATTTTTCAAGGTTCTATTTCTATTAAAATTAAATAAATAAAAATATTGAAAATCTTTTCAATTTTTCTAAAATTTAAAATTTTAAAAAAAACAATTTTTTTTTAATTAAATTTTTTTAACTAAAAAAGTTGTTTTCTTCCTTTGACCCTCAAGTCAATTCAGTCAACACAACAACTATACTGTAAAAAAAATTATGGAGTTAACGGCACCGGAAGTTGGGAGTTAAATTTTTCGAGTTAAAAATCAACTCAAAAAGGGAGTTAATATAATTAAATTGACTCCTTAAAACTAACTCCCTAGGCATAAAATTAATTCATAAAGCATTAACTTACATTATTTTTATCAAATAAAGAAAAATATTGAAAATTACGTACTTTCTTGTTTTTTCATAAAGATTTCGAAAAAAATAATTCAAATGAAAATCTCACATGAAATGTCCTGTATATATA